CGAAGCATAAAGTGTCTTGAGTTTGTCCCACAAACTTTTGGCATGTGTCTCATTCACAATATGATTTCTAACATTATCTTCAATCCATTGTCTAATATAGCCACAAACCTGCAGATGCTCAAATTCCCATTCTTCATCATTCAAAGACCGAGGCTTATTAGAAGCAAACACAGGTAAATGCATCTTCTTGACAAATAGAAGATCTTTCATCTTGCCTTTCCAAATATGATAGTTACTACCAGTTAAACACACCATTTTGCTCATATTTGCCTCCATCATTCAAAATGACAATCAACAATAACCAATGCTCTGATACCACTTTGTTGGGAAAGACAAGGCACTAACAAAGAATGCCTGACAGGATAATAGCGGAAGAATACCCAAGTCTATACTTTCCCTTTTCGATTTGAACCAAGAGAAAACAAACAACCACAAGCAATATGATAGTAAGACAGCAAGTAATTCAACCAAACAAATATAACAAGACAATAATAAACCAATCACACAAGACACCAAGATTTACGTGGAAAACCCTTCGATGTGAAGAGTAAAAAACCACGGGACCAAAAACTCCACTATAATCACCAAGATTTACAATATTGTTCTCCAAAATTGGCCACAAAACAAGTGTCAAACAACGAGCAACAACAAAATAAGATTGCACCAAATCTAGAGAATTAAAGGAGCAAAATCACCAATTTCGCAGCTACTATTCACGACAGCAAAACTGAAGCTGCAGGCCACCAAATCCAACTCTGTCAGTTCTTAATCAAAGATTGAGATGAAGTTAATATGCTGTCCAAAAATCAGCTCAATCGGACAAGAAACGAAGCGGGAATCGCAATTTGAAGTTGGCTGTTATGGCTGAAATTTGACTGCGAAAATCTGCTCTTTTTCTCTCTTTTTGGCTGCTAAAAAACTCTCTGTATATCTGAAAATAAGACCCTAAATAGGTTTATATTTGCCTCATAAGAATGGGCTTATGGACAAAAATGGGTTGGTCCAAATTGGGCTTTTATTTATCCACATAGGAAGGAAAAAAAGACCCATAACCCAACAATATATACATACATGCATACATACATACATGTGTGTGTGTGTGTGTGTGTGTTTGTGTGTGTGTGTGTGTATATATATATGTATGTGTGTGTATGTATGTATGTATCATTGTGTAATAAAAATATTTATATTTAATTAAATAATAAATTAAATTATAATTTATTAAAAGGGCAAAAGGGTAATTCAACTTTTCACTATAGAGCTTCCCACTTATATTAATATATGATATATGATATGATATGATATGATGATATGATATGTTGAGCCTTCATGTGTTTAGTTCTTCTTATTTTGAACCCCTATTGGCGAAAATCTTTGTTCTTCCATTGTTTTATTTAATATGTTTTTCTCACTGTTGTTTTGATTATTAATGTCTAAAAATGATATTTATGTGTTTAATTTTGTATTAGATGATTCATTGTTCATGTTGGCTATTTGTTTCAATTAAGTGATTTTATACACATAAATTTATGCTCAATATGGAAAGTGTTGGAAACGATAACATGAATGAGTCCTTGCTTGGATACACGTGCAACGCATGTACCCAAAAACTATTTTTTTTTTAAAAAAAACAAGCCTAAATTAAGGGGAAGTTTATTTATACACACCATTCTTTAAAATAAATTTGGAACTTTTTGGTCACCTTGATTCAATGACTCAATGGCATCGTTTACCTAATTTTAAGATGAGGGATCACATAAGCACAAATAAGAAGTGGAGAAAAAATGGACCTGAGATGTCCTATGTAAACGGAAAACGGTCAGGTATTGAATTAACGGTGCACAACATGCAATAATAACTGAAACTTCCTAATACTTACATCTCACTATCAAATATTCATGACACTATTTTCCAATAATAGCAATAAATAAAGATGTTGTTTTCTGAATAAGAAGCTGCACAATTTAATTTATGCCTTCACAGGTTCTTTTCTGTTTCTCCTCTTCCTTCAGAATATCAGTTGTTTAAAAAAAAAATCTATTTGTTATTTTAGCTTTATTCATTCATGGGTATCCTAGATTTTTTGTTCTTGATTTCCATATTTGGTACGATTAATTAATTGTGTCACTATCTCATTTAAAAGATTATATTGTTAACAGAACGACAACGCTTGGGCCTATATTATTATATTTTGTTTAGGAGTGAGGGTGAAGCTCCAACGCTTGACCTTGCTCTGGTATCATGTTATTTTGTGACCATCTTATGATAAAAGTGGAGATTCTTTGAGTCTCAACTTTGAAGGGCAAGATTAATATTGACATTATTGTATATTGGGTGTTGAAATTAGTTATTTTAATTGCAATTTGATTAATTACTATAGTACTAAATTCATTAATTATGTACATTTGATAATTATTAATTTTACCATAAGTTGTAATCTTCACTTCAATAAAGTGCACTTTATTTCTTTCTTTTCGCTTCAAGATTAAACCTACTACTTGGGGTAGTTTGGTAGCTGGTATGGATGCGAGTTATGCAAGACCTGATTGTTGCACAAATAATACCACATTTGGTAACTCATTAGGAGATAAGCTATTCATCTATAAAATTAATATGGTGTTTGGTTTGCAGTTTAGAAATCCATACAACTATAATACATGTATAAGTTACGAGCGAATTTGTGTATTTTTGTAGACAGGATAGAAGGTGGAATTAAATATAATACATGAATAACATACATGACTAACCAGCTACCAAACGACCCCTTAGTCTACAAGTGAATACAAGGATTTCTTGCTTTTCGCTTCATTCAGTGATGGTCTAAACATTGATGAAAGATTGCAGTGAGGTATATTTGAGTTGAGCATATAGATGAAACAATCACAGACTGTTTCGCTTGTTATGACCTTCTTGATTTGAGCATTTCTACTTTATATATGTGATGCAGATATCTTCCGAATTGAATGTTGAGCACTAGTTTACCATCATGAACTCTATCCTGGATCGCGTAGCCAAAGATTATGGTAGACGGAACAACTCAAGTGTGTATAGTAGTGGGGACGTCTTTGAGCCTTTGTCAAGTGGTAATGGTGAGGATGAAGGGACAAACCATTTATTCCATATAGGCTGATCAAACTCTTGATCTGGCTAATTCCCCTGACTGTGCTTTATTGTTTCTACAGCTAAGCAACGGGCAAAATTGGTAGAATGGTTTAATAGTGTTCTTCCTCACTTGAGTTTGCCAATAAATGCTTCTGATGAGGATTTACGAGCATTGTTGGTTGATGGTTCTGTCTTATGCCAATTATTGAATAAGTTGAAACCAGGTTCTGTACCTGAGGTAGTTTATAATATTTTGATTTTACAGTATGCTGGAGTAATTATGTCTTTGTTTGTTGATTTAACTCTATCTTTTCTTCTAGTGTGGTGGTACAGTACATTCTCCACAGCTACGTTCAGAAAATATTAGAAGGTTTTTGTCTGCTATGGATGAAATGGGCTTGCCCAGGTTCTACATATCAGACTTGGAACAGGTTCTCATGTCATAACTAACTCATGTAGTTCATTTCTACTTATGATTATAGGAAGTCCTTGTTCTCCCGTTTGGCTATTTGAAGTTAAAACTTGAAAATTTGAGGCTTTAAAGTTGTGTTTGGACATGCATTTTACTTGGGGAAGTCTCAAAAATACAACAGGTCCGAGCCCACTTGAAATTTCATGGTCAAACAAATATTTGAAGATAAAAAAATCTGATCCCGAATATATGGCCAGACGCTAGCTTAACTCTGCAGGCCATTTGAGTTGTATAACTTTTTCCATTTGTAGAAAAGTGTTATCCTGCATTACTTGCATTTAGTTAATTGCCATCTATTTTTCATTTTAGATGTATTAACAATGATGAATTGTCCAGGGTTCCATGAAGATAGTACTGGAAAGCCTTTTAACACTTCGGGCAGAATTTAAGCTGAATGATGGAGGATACAATTCGAGCACAGTATTATCCAGTAAATATGGGGCTGATGCAAGCAGAAGATGGAAAGTGTTGGATGAAAATTCGGGATGTGGTGATGTTTCATACATAGAAGAATTTTCATCAAGAACTCACTCTACCCCATCCCCACGAGAACGGATGAAGACAGGTTCAGATTCAAAATTCCAGCGAGTGTTGAGAAGTCCTGTAGTGACAGGTATTGATGTAATATGCAACATAAAAACATGTCTACAGATTGTATAGCCGTTTGCTATTTTATTTGCAATCATTAATGCTCTTTTGCTCTTCTTGGGTTTTAAGAACTTAAGAAATTGTTAAATTAGGTAAATAACTCTTTGCTCTTGCTACTTCTCCAAACTCCACATGTCATGTCTTCATTCTGAACTTCGTAGAGCCATCAGCCGCTTTAATACACCACGTCGGACATAGGTTCCATGAAGTATTTCAGCTTAAACAAGGGAGCCACTCTGAAATTCCTGCTGCAAGGATTTCGGAAATGATGAGATCTAACAGTTTGAATGTTAGTAAAAAGTTCCACCCTCCCTTTTGTCAATGAAGCTATCTTGCTACTTGCATAAGTTTTATTCATAATTTGAGTTTGTACTTGTTCCACTCATTTCATTCTTTATTTTCAGATTGCCCCAACGCAGTCACTTCTAAGTGTTGTAAATGGGATTCTTGATGAAAGCGTTGAGAGGAAGAATGGAGAGATACCTCAAGTCTGCACTTAATTTGCATATGACTTTTGGAATTTCTATTCTATATGATCTAACATTAATTGGATGTCTAAATCTTTCAGCGTGTAGCGTGCCTATTGAGAAAAGTGGTGCAAGAAATTGAGCGGCGGATATCTACTCAAGCTGAACATCTTAGAGCGGTACAATATGTAACTGACCAGCTGTATTCTCAATTTCTCTTTTCAATGGATTTATTTCATATTATTTTTCTTTCTGTGCCTGCAGCAAAGCAATCTATTCAAGTCTCGTGAAGAGAAATACCAGTCAAGGATCAGAATCATGGAAGACCTTGCAACTGGGACTAGTGAAGAGACACAGGTAGTTATGGACTTCACATTCTAGGAAAAGTTCAAAGTTTGCGATTATTACGCTTCCACAATTACTGCCTTTACACGTCCACCTCTTCTGCATTTCAGATTGTCATGAACCAGCTTCATCAGATTAAGGTAATTTTCCAGTTTTCTTTCCGCCGCATTGCTAGCTCAATGTTCAGTAAGTTCTTCTTTAATTTCGTATGCTTTTACACTTACTATATCACACGAACCAGATATCCTGAAAATTAAACCAGCTATGCTTTATCCTATTTCTTCCTCTCATGATTGAGGACATTATCATTACTTTCTCAGATTAACAGTACTCTCTATTGCTTCTGTATAGAAGTGTCGTGTATAATTTGTTTGTTAATCTTGTCAAGTGAAATCCGTTATTGACTGTGTTGAATGCCTTGAATCCGTTATTGACCTGTCAATTCTGTATGTTGGGCCCAAGCCTGTTAGGGCGTAGCTTAGCAATATATATGTATAGACGCTATGGCAAACCCCATATTGTAATTCTGTTTTTGCCTCTCCATAATAAAACCGCTCCCTCTCTTCCCGTGGACGTAGCCAATTTATTGGTGAACCACGTAAATCTGTTGTCTTGTTTTTCGCGTTTATATTTTCTCGTATTATCTCAAATTCCCCACAACAGACTGCAAAGAATATGATGCTAGAATCTAGGTACTTCCAAAAAATTCAGCTCCATCATTTTTCTCTACAATCTTCAGTTTTACTATTTCTTTGTTTTTGAAATCGCATGCAGAATGAGAAGAGCAAAGCAGAAGAGAAGAAGAAAATTGAGGAGCAGGATGTGTCTATATTGAAAGAGAAGGACGATCAAATTGCCGCATTGAAGCAAGAACTGGAAATGGCTATGAAGTCCTATGAATTGAAAGAGAATGAAGATCATGGTAAAAGAATCACAGCATTGAAGAAAGAGCTGGAAGTAGTTAAGAAATCATATGAATCGAAAGAGAAGGAAGATAATAAAGAAATTACAGCTTTGAAGCAAGAAATGGGAACACTTAAGAAATCATATGAATTGAAACAGAAGGAAGATAATAGTCAAGAAATCACAGCTTTGAAGCAAGAATTGGAAATAGTTAAGAAATCGTATGAATTGAAAGGGAAGGAAGCTAATAGTCAAGAAATCACAGCTTTAAAGCAAGAACTGGAAATAGTTAAGAAATCGTATGAATCGAAAGAGAAGGAAAAACATAAACAAGAAATCACAGCTTTGAAGCAAGAATTAGAAACAGTTAAGAACTCGTATAAATCGAATGAGAAGGAAGATCATAGGCGAGAAATCGCAGATTTGAAGCAAGAAATGGAAATAGCTAAAAGATTGTATGAACAACACACCCTAGAAATGAAAGAAAAGGCTACAAAAGCTCAACAAGAACTTGAGGAGAAGTTGAAGGAGGCCATGAGCCTTTTGACAGAATCAAGAAATAGGATAAAGGAACTTGAGACATTTATTGAATCACAATCTCGCAGTTGGACGAAGAAGGAGCATATTTACCAAATATTTACAGAATTCCATCTGGGCGCACTGCGTGTATGCTTGATCTCATTTCTTCTTTTCAAATTTTTCCTAACATGTCATTTATGTAGAACGTATGACTTGGACCTCCATGATTGTTCAGGAACTGAAATTTTCTTCTCAGTCAATAAGGCAAGAACTGGTGAAAACTCAGCAGAGCTACGGAGAGGAATTCAATCAACTAGGTCATTTCAGCTGCTTGAAGTGTTATACTAATGTTGTTTACTGAAGGCCGTATAAGTATAAGATAGCAAGACAAGTTTTAACATGGACTTATGGATTTTCCTCATGAAATCAAATTTCGATTACAGGTGCAAAAGTTACAGCACTTGGACATGCAGCTGCAAACTACTCTGCACTCCTTGCTGAGAATCGCAAACTGCACAATGAGGTGCAGGAGCTAAAAGGTGTGATAACATAGTGATCTTCATAATTTTGAGGACCGAAAATTAAACACCGTTCTTGTTCATCTACTTACGTTTATTTTCCAATTAGGAAATATCAGAGTATATTGTCGAATTAGGCCATTCCTTCGTGGACAGAAGGAAAAGCAATCAGTTGTTGAATACATTGGAGAAAATGGAGAGCTGATTATTGTAAATCCTTCCAAACAAGGAAAGGAAGGCCGCAGGTCTTTCAAGTTTAATAAGGTCTATAATCCAGCTGCAACACAAGGTTTTCAGATTCTTCCATATTATGAATTCTTATATCTCTATTCTGCATAATGAATTCCAATATATATTCACCTTCCTACTCTTCTACAGCTGATGTATATTCAGATATTCAGCCATTAATACAGTCCGTGCTTGACGGATATAATGTGTGTATATTTGCCTATGGTCAGACTGGATCAGGGAAAACATACACCATGGTAAATGAACTTTGGTATCTAAATTTGTTAAATATGTTAAAGTTGTTTTACTTTCCTGAAGTCAAACTTAATTGACCTACAGACTGGCCCAGACAAAGCAACCGAGGAGAATTGGGGTGTCAATTATCGAGCTTTAAATGATATTTTCAGAATTTCTCAAACGAGAGTGAACACCTTCACATATGAAATTACAGTTCAAATGATGGAAATATATAACGAACAAGTTCGTGACTTACTCTCAAGTGATGGTTCACCAAGGAAATATCCTTTTATATTCTGCATGGTATCTACTTTGTTACTTTCAAACATCAAATGATCGACCAGTCTGAAATCTTCTACAGTTTTGATTCTTCCTTCCTTCCTCTTTGCTGTTACTGCTTTGTCTTGCATTTTCAATTTATTTCCAAAATGACCATCTCAGATTTGCTTATAACATGCATCCGGTTAACTGTTTTCCTTGATTTGCACACACTTGGGATAGTGTCCGCCCCCCAGCCTAATGGATTAGCTGTTCCAGAAGCAAGCATGCATACAGTAAACAAGACCTCTGATGTCTTAAATTTGATGGATATTGGACTAAGAAATCGAGCAAGAGGTTCCACTGCAATGAATGAAAGAAGTAGTCGATCGCACAGGTTCCGTATAACAACTCTACAGAGTTCATCTACATACTTTGAAGTTTGAAGTACATATCTTGTCTTTTTTGTTATGAGTGATTTACTATATCATACTGAGATTAGCTGCAATATGTGCACAGTGTTGTCACTATTCATGTTCGTGGGATGGATATTAAGAGTGGTTCATCCATGCGTAGTAGTCTTCATTTGGTGGACCTTGCTGGAAGTGAAAGAGTCGACCGCTCTGAGGTGACTGGCGATAGACTGAAAGAGGCGCAGCATATAAATAAGTCATTATCTGCCCTTGGAGATGTCATTTATTCTTTGGCACAAAAGAATGCCCATGTCCCATACAGAAACAGCAAGCTGACTCAAGTCCTTCAGACTTCATTAGGTACTCTTTTTTATTTATCCCCTACCTGAATGTTAGTGCTATTCTACAGAATTAATTCATTCCTGAATAAAGTGATCCATGCACAATCAGCAAACAAGTGGGAGCTAGTCTCCGAAGTCTCTGAGACATATCTCACACAGACAGACTGTGGAGGAACAAGAATTTTCACTAGTAGGGGTCAAAATATAAAGAAGTAAATCCTCGAAGAAGTGAAGGGACGTCAGTATGTCAGATATATACACTAAAAATATTTTTACCTGGTCACAAAGTTTAATTTTCTGAGTTAGGGTGTCGATTGAAACCCCTTATGTACATGTGACGCCAGCACTGCAGACAGCATCGATCATCCACTTGCATCTTTAGTATAACGAGTCTAAGCAGCATCCCCTAAAGTGCTAAACACAGTATAACTTTATGCCTTGGCTGGGCTACATATGTCCACACAAGATCTGCAACGTCCAGATCTTCCTTTGCTCCCCCATAAGATGTTAATAACTACTAGTGATGAAGAATAGCAGAATACTCCTTTAGCAGTTAATACCGTATGACCATCCTATCCTTCAAAGAGTTGATTTTCCTCCGGTAAAAACTACTACCCAGTGGAGCTTTATGTCCCTAGATACTATCGTCATTTTTCATATAAATCACATAGACAGCATCTTATCCATAGTGCATTCTTACCCACAACTAGCTTCCAAAGTAACTTCCCCACTGAATCTACATTCCAAGTTCTGCGTTCTTTCACATTTAAGTCCTCTATTCTTTCGTAGACAAACTTTGTCCCAAGAGACGACACATGGTTTCCTCGGTCCTTCTGAGATCCCGCACATATATTCCCTGCACTTTCTATCCACCTATTTCAATATGCTCTGCGGCAAGATAAAGGCAGATCCCCAAAGCTATGTATAGAGAAAAACGCAGCATTCAGAACTTGAAATCTTCCTGCATAGGATAATTGTTTAGCATAAGCAGTACTAAGCATGCTTGTAATCTTGTCAATTAGTTATTGACACACTAACTGTTTACACTTCTTAGAGGATATAGGCAGTGCCAAATATCTTATTGGAAATAGCCCTAGAGTGTAACCAGCAATATATCCTTGATTTGGTCAGTAGATCCCACTATATAGATACTAGACTTCTCAAAATTTGCAATCAAACATATGTAACCAGCAATATATCCTTCATTTGGTCAGAAGATCCAACTATAAAGATGCTAGACGTCTCAAAATTTGCAATCAAACATATGGCTGCACTCAATTGTTCCACTGCTTCCCTCGCCCTTAGCATAGAGTGTTCCTCTCTGTTGCAAAATACCATTAGATCATCAGCAAAAATTGAGTCAGTTTTACAATCTTGCACATGGGGTGATATTCAAGTCAGGCAACTGGTACAATACATTACAACATGAAATTGGTCTATGTTGGCTAGCACTGTCAGGACAGTCAACCTTTGGAATAAGGGCAGTATTAGTAGAGTTAATCAGGACAGTCTTTTGATTGCTTCAGAAACAATTGAGCATGAATCATAAGCAAGTGCATCGGAGGTATTTCAATGAAAAATAGAATATGTTTTGGTTGAGAACCTCCAATATGGTTCCGAAATAGATTTTGGCCACACTAGGTAGTTTCTATCTCCCTGCAATATTATCTTTTACATCTCGGGTACTTATCTGATGACTAGTCTTGCTTATTTAGTACTGAACTATTTGTTGGAATTTTGACCCCCAATTTTTCCTAAGGAATAGGTTTATTCTATATGTTCCTTTGCATATGAGTTACGTTTTGTGAAGCAAATAAAATAATAAAATAATATTTTATCGCGGAAAACCGCAACTCTCAAGGGTAAAAACCATGACCTACACTTCTATAGGATTTAACTCCACTTTACTAAACTTCAAGTCTCAACAAAAGATTACAAAGTTATGTAACCTAAGGAACTATAAACTATAATTCCTAAAGGAATTATAAACTCTAATTCCAAGCTAAGAAATTATAAACTCTAATTTCTAGCTACCCGAAAACACAAAAAACCCCGGTTTTATATCTTCTAATGTTCTTCAAGTTCCACAACTTGTCGAACAACTTCTGCTCACAAGACTCAGATTATAATCAAAACTCTTAATTACAATCTTACAATTTTTTCTCACAAATTGCAATACTCCCAATAAATCTCAAGAGTCTCTCAACCTCTTGATCGTGTTTTGATCTTCTCTCTATGTAAGTGCGCAATTATTCTGAAGCGAGGCGCTATTTATAGATTTGGACTTGAATCCAAAACCTATTTCACCTAGAAATCCTATTTGTGTCTGCTTCCTTTTTCTCATGAAACTTAGAAGCTCACGCGTAGGATTCCTACATTGTGCGGAACTCGTCTTCGCCGCATCTTCAACTCCTTCTTCAACTTTAACTTTGCTGCATCAAATCTTTGTTGAATTGTTGAACTCAACTTTGGACTTTGTTTCCACCCTTTGTCGCTGGAAAATTGTCACTGGAACAAAACCTTGTAGCATTAGGTCTTCTCTTTGTACTTTACATTGAAAGAAAATTCCTTGCGTGATTTTCCTTATTTAGCTTAGGAAAACAGATTTTCCTTATTTAGCTTAGGAAAAAGTCTGCATTCTACATAGTTTTCCTTAGTTAAATAAGAAAACATTATTGAACGCTAACGCTTTGTTTCACTAAAACGTGTAATCCTATTCAAACTTAAATTCGCTGGAACATATTCGATGGAACATGTTGACGTTACCTTTTCGATACAAATTTGCCATCTTTCAAAATACCATGAGTTTAACACTATTTATTTATGATGTTTGAGTACCCTCTAGGATATAAATTTATCCAACATTTGCAATTCTGCAATAAGTTCAAATGGATCGTTATATCCCCGGCTGTTGACACTTGCATATATTTTTATTTTGTTATACAGGTGGTCAAGCAAAGACACTTATGTTTGTACAGCTTAATCCTGAAGTTGGTTCACATTCAGAAACCACCAGCACATTAAAATTTGCTGAAAGAGCATCCAGAGTAGAGCTAGGTGCTGCTCGAAGTAGTAAAGAGGGCAGGGATGTAAGAGATTTAATGGAGCAGGTGTTCTTTTAACTTTAAATGCTTATTAGTAACTGCTAGAACTGACATTATTATATGCTTCCTCGTTAACTAACTTGTAACTATCTCAGTCTAATTATTAAGGTATTGTCTATTTTGGACCTAGACCTGCACAAATTTGTCCCTTCGATTTTAACCCAAAAGGAGCCTCAACAATTTTTTTAACTCATTCTTATAATGTCCTTAACTTTCTACTCCCGATCCACCTAAGGTGTAATGTGTTCCTCAACTTTCTGTTGGGAAAACGCGGACGAGCAAAAAAATATATATGGTAAAAGTAATGGAAATAAAATGAGAAAATAACGACACCAAGAATTTTATGTGGAAACCCTTCTGAATAAGGGAAAAAATCACGGGCCAAGAGGAGCAATTGATATTACTATAGTAAGGAATTTTACACTGTGTAGTCACGAATACAATACTCAAAGTGACTACTACACACTCAAAAGGAACAACACTCTTTTGGTTTCCGTCTTACTAAAATATCGCTCACACTCTATTTTTCTTCACAGACTATTTTCTTATATGGTCTACGAAATACCTCACTTTGCTCTCAAAATGGGTTTTCTCTCTAACTTGGTGTATTCTACAAAGAGCAAGAATGCTCTATTTATAAAAGGATAAAACCATGTCTATGTCACTAATGACATATGTAAATATAGCAAAGTCAAGAATGGTTGCGAATCTTACCAATTTGTCAACCACCAAATCTTTTATTTTCAACTCCAATTACTATTCCTTTTTAACAATTGCTTGTACCAATTGAATAGCTAAAGTTTAATAAAAAATGGGATGGATTCAATAAATCTCCCCCTCTAGTCCTAATTACTGGAAGAAGGTATCTTCAACTTTTTTAGAGAGAGATCATACCCACAAGTTCTTTGCATAACTCAAACTTGTCTTTCGGTATCATCTTGGTCAGCATATCTGCAGGATTTTCTCTTGTGTGAATCTTTTTGACGTGAAATGATTCATTCTCCACATTCTCACGAATCCAATGATATCTGACGTTGATGTGGTTTGTTCTTGCATGGTTCATGGAGTTCTTGCTTAAGTCTATTGCACTCTGGCTGTCACAATAGACAATATACTCCATCTGATACAAACCAAGCTCTTGAAGAAATCGTTTTAGCCATATCATCTCCTTGCCGGCTTCAGTAGCCGCAATACACTCAGCTTCAGTTGTAGATAGTGCAACACACTTTTGCAACTTTGACTATCATGATATAGCTCCCCCTGAAAAAGTAAGCAAATATCCAGTAGTGGATTTTCTGTTAATAAGGTTACCTGCCATATCAGAATCTGTATATCCTTTCAAGATTGGATTTGATGCTCCAAAAAACAAGCATTCATTTGAGCTTCCTATAAGATACCTGAGTATCCACTTCACAGCTTCCCAATGCTCTTTTCACAGATTTTCGAGAAATTTACTGACAACACCAACTGCGTGAGCAATATCAGGTCTAGTGCACACCATTGCATACATTAGACTTCCAACAACGGAGGAATTTGAAACTTTGCCCATGTTCTCTTTTTCCTTCCTAGCTGTAGGACACATCTTCTTGCTCAACTTCATATGACCGGCAAGAGGTATACTAATAGGCTTAGCATTCTTCATATTGAAGTGCTCCAGTACGCGTTCAATGTACTTCTTCTGGGACAAATAAATTTTCCTTTTATCTCTAAGACGAGTAATTCTCATGCCCAAAATTTGCTTGGCATGACCCAAGTCTTTCATTGATAAAGACTTACACAACTCTTTCGTCAGCTCATCAAACTTGGAAGTATTCTTGCCTACAATCAACATATCATCCACATACAACAAAAGGATAATAAAATCATTGTCAGAAAATTTTTGTACAAATACGCAATGATCTGAAGAAGTCTTCTTATAGCCTTGCTCCCCCATAATAGATTCAAACTTTTTGTACCACTGTCTGCGAGCTTTTTTTAGGCCATAGAGACTCTTTTTGAGTTTACATATAAAATTTTCTTTACCATCTAATTTGAAGCCCTCAAGTTGTTCCATATGAATCTCTTCTTCTAGGTCACCGTGAAGGAAAACCTTCTTCACATCCATCTGCTCAATCTCTAAATTAAGACTAGCAGTCAAACCTAGAACTGTGCGAATCGAGGAGATTTTCACAACAGGAGAAAATATTTTGTCAAAGTCAATACCTTTCCTTTGACTAAATCCCTTAACAATCAATCTAGCTTTGTACCTGGACTTCAAGTTGTGTTCTTCAACTTTAACTTTGAACACCCACTTGTTCTTCAAAGCTCTCATTCCCTTGGGAAATTTTACCAACTCATAAGTGTGGTTCTCATGGAAAGACTTCATCTCGTCTTGCATGGCTTCAATTCATTGATTCTTGTGCTCATCTTCCATGGCCTCCTCATAACATTCAGGTTGTCCCCCGCCAGTGAGTAACACATACTCATTGGGTGAATAACGAGAGGAAGGAAACCGCTGTCTTGTGGACCTCCAAAGCAGAATATTTTATTTGTCCACAACTTCATGAGCAACAGGATCATCAATAACAATATCATTGTTATTATCAACATCAACATGTTGATTCGATACATGATTCTGGGTGTCACCATGATTATCAAACCCAACAACATCACGCACACTTGTGTGAGGAACTTCATCATGATGAACTATACTATCAAAACTTGAAGATTCTACCTTCTCCGCTTTGTCAATATCTTAATTTTTTTTCTCCTCCATGAAAATAATATCACGGTTTCTCACAAGTTTCTTTTCAATTGGATCATATATCATGTAGCCAAATTCATCTAGGCCATATCCAATGAAAGTGCATTGTCTTGTCTTGGCATCTAACTTTGACCTCTCATCTTTTGACACATGTACAAAAGCTTTGCAACCAAATACTCTCAAATGGTCATAGGAAACATCCTTTCCATACCAAACACTATGAGGTACATCACTTTGCAAAGGAACAGCAAGAGATAGATTAATAACATGTGCAGCGGTCAATAAAGCCTCACCCAAAAAATGAGTTTGGCAACTTTGCTTCAGAAAGCAAAAATCTAACTCTTTCCATCAAGGTCATGTTCATCCTCTCAGCCGAACCATTAAGCTGAGGAGTCTTGGGAGGAGTCTTCTGGTGTCTAATACCTTGATGCTTGCAGTATTCGTCAAATGATCCACAATATTCACCACAATTATCAGTACGAATAGATTTCACTTTCTTCTCAGTTTCTCTTTCAACTGAAGCATGAAACTGCTTAATGACACCTAACACTTGGTCTTTAGTCTTCAAGACATAGACCCAAAGTTTTCTCGAGCAATCATAAATGAAAGTGACAAAGTAAAGTGCACCACCTAATGTATTTGTATTCATTGGACCACATAAATCAGAGTGCACTAACTCAAGCAACTCTGTCTTTCTCAAAGGAGGGTAGGTTTTAAAGGAAACTCTATTTTGTTTACCAGCCAAGCAGTGCTCACATTTTTCTAATTTAGCACTTTGGAAATTTGACAATAATTTCTTCTTGTCTAGAAAATTAAGTCCTTTCTCGCTAATGTGGCTAAGCCTCTTGTGCCATAATGTTGAAGAACTATCGCTCTCAACCGCATTCACCATATCAACACAAGTAGAGGTTGTAGTCTAGTATAGACCACTACGTTTGTTACCACGAGCCACAACCAAGGAACCGTTAATGAACTTCCATTTTCCATCACCGTTGGTACTAACATATCCTTCATCATCTAAAACACCAACAGAAACTAGGTGCAGACGAACATCAGGAGCATGTTTCACATTGTTCAAAACTAGTTTAGTTCCAACACTAGTTTCCAAACAAATTGTACCAATACCAAGCACCGTAGAAACAGTCTCCTTACCCATACTCAAGGTTTCAAAGTCACCAGGAGTGTAGGAAGAGAAAAAATCCTTCCTTGATGTCATATCATGAGATGCTGCACCAATGTCCACAACCCAGCTTGACTCATCACAAGCAATATTTCATGTTTGCATCAAGAATGGTAAAAGGATCTTCGGTGGTGACTGATACCCTCAAACTTACTTCTCAAATGAGAAGTAAAGCGGTCGTGTCAAGTAAATAACCCAACTAGTGAGGTTGGGATCGTTCCCACGAGGAAATAGTCTAGACTTAACTTCAACTTGTTATTACTATTGTTCGGTTGATGACTTCCTTAGAAAGTAAAAGCATAAAAAGGGGGGTTTGTATTTCCTAATGAGCAAAAATAACTAACAAATTTGAAAGAGACACTTAACAGCTTTTAATGTTGAGTTTTAATCAAGTAATCAAAGTAACTAGGGTTTACGTGTTCCCCACAGGTTCATAACTTGATAATTCTAACTATAACAATTCTTTCCTAGTATCTTGCATGTAAAGTGATAAGTTATGTATTTCTAAATCCTTGGTCCGACATCTAGAAAATCTCACTCCGCACCTTAGTCCGGCTACGTGTGTTGCTTTCCTAACCCTTATCCTTACCTCATATTAAGCATCGTATTCGATATTAGACTAAGTTATTACCTCGTACCAATCAATACTAGCCTATTAGATAGTATACACTAAATCTATGTTAATAATTCTTTTCCTATTATCTACCTCCTTGGTCCGGCAAGTAGCATTAAGGCGAGTTCTAACGTTGATCATCCGTTAAAAAGACTTCTAAGCGAAAGAATTATTAATACATGCAAGACACGATTCTAGAATTGTTATTTTAGCTAGGGTTTATCTCATTATTTGCCTATGGTTCCCACAACCCTAGTTATGGAGTTTAGTTCCTCATAGCTATAAACACAATATTCAAATATGGTAAACAAGAATTCATGTACTTACTTCGATGAGAAAGAATAAAGTTCAAAAATTTGCTTGATTAATCACCAAAAATCACTTGGAAGAATCTCTAACAATCAAGCACTCAAAACACAAAGTCTCACAATATAATGTTTAATATCACAGAGTCTGACCTCAAAAATGAG